GTTGATCCCTTACCTTATCTACTCTCTCAATCTCTTCTTACCGTGAGGAAGTGAGTCCAACTTGAGAGTCCTCTCCTTGGTGAGGTGTCGTGAGCGCGCTACCTTGAGAGACGACAATCTTCCCGGAAGCAATCTGGAAGGAGAAAGGGCGGTGCCTCTGAAGGGCCCTGGTCGAAGCACTGGGTCACGGTCACCATGCCAACCCACAGGGAGTAGTGCACGCATGCGATGGCTGCTGTCCTGTCAGGCTTTTGCTGCGCCAAATAGAAGTCTTGCCGAGTGTGCCAACCTTTTAGAGGCGCTTACCAGACCGTCTATAAACATTTCTGGTTGGGAGTTCATTGTGAATCTGGCTGTGATCGTCGTCCTGACTGCGACGTTAAAGAATTCCTGCAGAGATGGGGGCGCTCTATAAAGTCCTCCTGATCAGCCAGATCACATGGACAGTAAGGCTCGTTTCCGTACGAGGGTAAATAAGAGTGGACTGGTTGGCTTGCTCGGCTCTGACTTGGGCACAGGGGTGGGCCGATATACACACGAAGACACTGCTCGCTCAAAGATGTTGTTCAGTATGTTGGATTGAGGGGAGGGGAGGTTCCAATTGGTGCTCAACTGAATACACAGCAATACCCATCAATTATATATCTGCTACATTGTTCTTTTGTACCTTTGATTAGTTGGTGGACAGACTGCTAACACCTCACAGACAGACTAGAGTAGGACCGAAGTATACTACCATAGCCAATTCTGTAAGTGAACTAATTAGAGTGCATCTAGACAGTGTAGACAATCTGTGTGAATGTTGTAGACACGCCACTTGATTCGGTATAGTAAGGGACTTGCCGGACACAACCATTTCTAGAAAATTAAGTGCCGGTCAGACACATGCTGCGGTAGGATTCCACTAGGGGATTCTAGTGCAGATAATGTTTGCCTAATTCATGAACGGATCAGACGTCGACGAGGAGGGAGTTGACGATGTTAGACTAACACGTGCAAGATCAAGTAGGATCCCGTACGTGTTCAGGACCCTAGACGAGGGAGAAGAAAGACGGCTTCGTGCCGAACGCAGAGCCCGTGCCCTAGCAGCATCTAGGGCAGCAGCGAACGTCGCAGCTAGAGAACAGGCTGCAGCAGCAGCCAGGGCAGTAGCCATGTCTGGCGCAGCAGCAGCCGGGGCTGCATCTTCGTCAAGGACTAATGGGAACCAGTTCGGAATGCCACTGAGTTCCACGAGTTTCACGGGCACTTCCAGGTCAACAGGTTCTAGAAAGTCTTCTAGTCAAATGGCGGGCTCGCAGTACAGCCCGTTGACTTCTCGCGAAAGGGAGATGAGGGAGCTCCAACAAGTCGAAAGGGTCCGTGCACAATTAGAGAAGGAACTAAAAGAGGCTACCGATAGAGAAAAAGAGATCAAGAACAGAACAACCAGGCTTGAAACGTTAGCGGCTAACAAGGCTGAGTTAGAGGGCATGGACGACTCCGGAATGAACAAGCCCATGAAAGTGTTGAGGAACAACATGCTGTCACTGCATGCACACGTGGACAGCAGGTTGGACTTCATGCAGAGCACTTTGGACCAGATCCTGGACATTTTGAGAAGGCTAGGATTTAGGTCACCAGCACAATCGTCGTTACCGTTGACGGCGATGTCAGGCCCCTTTCCAGTTCAAGCTGGCACACTGCCAAGTGGTACGTCTGCAGCAGTCTCACAGACTGTTGCATCTTCTTCTTCGAGTTCAGCGGTGATTGCTACATCACCGCAAGGGACAGCAGCAAGGTCACTGGTATCCCAAAACCCCAATGAAACCGCCTCTTGCCTTCTCAGGTGAGAGAAAGGATGAGGAACTCAACACATGGTTGAGAACGATCCCGGTTTGGGTGAAGGCCAAAAGGACCCTGCCTGAGGACGAAGTGGTAACTGCGGCATCTTACCTAGAGGGTAAGGCAGCCAAGTGGCTAGATGGTGTAGTTGTGAAGGCCGGGTACGGGAGACGCATGGCAGTTTGGGCTAAGTCTTTGACGTTAGACCAGTTCATGGAAATGGTAAAAGCTAGATGGCATAATCCCCAGGAGGCACAAAAGGCCACTGATGCCATCAACAAACTGGACCGATGAAAGTTCAGGTCAGTTAGAGAGCTTACGACTACCGTTGAGAGCCTGATCCTCGTCCCGGGCATCAACTACAGTGACCAGTTCCTGTTAACAACTTTTGTTAGATGTCTTCCAGAGAACCTCAGGAACTTGCTGGCCAGTGAGGCATGCACCGAGTACCACACGTTTGAAACATTGTCTAGGAAAGCCTTAGACTTAGAGGCCACACTAGGCAATGCTCAACCYACCTCAGGGAACGACTCAAAGAAGAAGAAGAGTCCCAAGAAGTGAAAAAAGAAGGGGGCAAAGTTGATGATGGTTGAGATTGAGATCGATGAACTCTCTGACCTGGTGGACTACTCAGAGTATGACGGCGAGGAGGTAGCTGAGGGTAGCACCCTCGCCGCAATGGTAAAGACTAAGGCAGGTGGCCGAGGGAAGGGCCAACCAAGGAGTCAAGGGAAGGCCGCCTCCAATCAGACCAAACAGGCTGAGTGGACTAAGAAAGGTCTTGATCAAGACGTGTGGCGTGACCGCCGATCGCATGGCGCTTGTATCAACTGCGAGGAATACGGACACATGCAGTGAAAGTGTCAGAACGCTTAGGTTACGCAAAAGGTTGCTCCAAAGATGGGGGCAACTTATTCCCAGGCTTCTAGCTCGGGAAACGTGTAGGGCCAGTGGAAGTAGTAGGAGCTTCTACTCAAGATGAAGTGGACATGATACCCTCCTCACTTCATGACAAGGCCGGAGCTAATGACTCCTTAGTCACCCCGGAGACGCGTCTAGACCAAACTATGCTATGTACGTTAGATGTGTTTGAGGCCTTAGAAGACTTCGAAGGCGAGTGGTCAAACAAGGACCCTCGCGAGTCTTGGGTGGCGCTAAAAAAGGGTCCTAGAGGGGAACATTTCGTGGTGGAAGTCGATGTAGGAGGCCGCAAATGTGGTGCCTTCATAGACATTGGCTCCACGCAGAATTACATAAGTCGCGACTGTTTGGAAAGGCTGCACCTACAGGACCGGGTACGACACCTTAGTAGACCAGTAGCATCTACTTTGGCCAACAAGGAGCGCATGATAGTGACTGACTACATCAAGGACGTAGTCTGTACCTTCTCCTATGGAGGAGGTGAGCTTAACCATAAGATCTCGTTCTTGGTTAGCGACGACTTACCATTTGACATGTTGCTAGGCATGTACTACCTCGAAGTTGCTAAGCCCCAGTTTGACAGGGATAAGAAGGTGCTCAAACATAAGTTGCCCGATGGTCGAACTGTCAGATTGACTAAGTTCAAGGCCAGCAGTATTGTAGATACATATGACTGCTTGTGTGCATCATCGTTCTACAATTACTATAAACAGAACCAAGAGGAGGGTATGTACCTTGTTTACGTCTCTGAGAAGGGGGAGGCCGTTGAAACACCCCCAGAGATAGAGCGTGTCGTTGCTAAGTTCCCTGATCTGTTCGAGGAGCCCTCATGAGTTGTTGATAGGGAAGTCGTCCACGCTATAGAAATAATTCCAGGGAGTAAGACCCCAAAGGGAAGGATCTATAGGATGGCCCCTGCCGAGTTAGATGAACTTCGGAAGCAACTCAAGGAGCTAACAGAGAAGGGATGGATTCGACCTAGTACTTCCCCTTACGGATCACCCGTGCTATTCGTACCGAAGAAGGGGGGTACTTTGAGGATGTGCACTGATTATAGAGGCCTCAATGCCATCACTGTGAAAAACGCAGAGCCTCTACCCCGCGTAGACGACCTATTGGATAGGGTGCAGGGATGCAAGTACTATACAAAGATAGACTTAAAATCCGGATATCATCAAATCGCAATAAGACCTGAGGACCAACACAAGACAACTTTTCAGACTAGATATGGTCTGTATGAGTTTGTTGTGATGCCTTTCGGTCTTTGTAATGTGCCGGGTACGTTCCAGCACGCTATGAATCGGATTTTCCATGACTATTTAGATAAGTTTATCGTGGTCTACTTAGACGACATCCTGATCTTTAGTAAGTCTGTCGAGGAGCACGCAAAACACGTTGAGACAGTTCTCTCACTCCTGCGACAGCACAAGTATAAGGTCAACTTAGAGAAGTGTGAGTTCGGTCGCACTAAGATACTATACTTGGGTCATGAAGTATCTGCGGAAGGGATTAGGTCGGAAGATGCGAAGGTGGAAAGTATTCGAGACTGGCCACGACCTCAGACAGTCACTGAGGTCAGGTCATTCTTAGGAATAAGCGGCTACTATAGAAACTTTGTTAAGAACTATTCTACAGTCGCCTCTCCTTTGACTGATCTAACTTGACTTGACACACCGTGAGACTGGAGTGATGAGTGCGAGGGTGCTTTCAAGAGATTGAAGCATGCAGTCATGAATCATGAAGTTCTCATGGTTCCCATTCCGCAGAAGCCATTCACAGTGACCACTGACGCAAGCCAATACGGCATTGGCGCTATGCTGGCTCAGCAGGATGGGAAGAAGTTGAGACCGATTGAGTACATGAGTAAGAAGATGCCATCGAAGAAGTTAGCTAAGTCCACCTACGAAAGGGAACTCTATGCTCTCTACAAGGCACTTGTCCATTGGAGACACTTCCTTTTGGGAAGGTTCTTCTATCTGAGGACTGATCATCAGACCCTCAAATGGATCAAGACTCAACTGGCTCTTTCTGATGCACTCAAGCGATGGATTGAGGTCATAGACCAATATGACTTCAAGCTTGAGTACCTGAAGGGAGAGTACAACAAGGTTGCAGACGCGCTATCCCGTAGAGCAGACTACCTAGGTGCGATAGTTTCTAACTTTGGCGTATCTAATGAAGTAACTCAATCATTGGTGGGACCTATCAGGAAGACCCTGTCACGATGGACATCATCCGCAAACTTCAGGCAAAAGACAAGGCCACAGAAAGTGAGTTTGTGATGGTGGATGGGCTAATCTATCTTGATAAGACCGGAGTAAAGAGATTGGTAGTTTCATCTAGTGAACAGTTGCGTAGTTTATTTTTAGGCGAATGTCATGACGCAACTGGGCATTTTGGCTACAAGAAGACAAGTGCTAACTTAGTACAGCGATTTTGGTGGCCTAGAATGCTAGATGACGCAAAGAAGTACGTTGAGACCTGTCAGGTCTGTCAACGGGCAAACCACGAACTCAAGCACCGCTTGGGTTGTTGAAGTCTTTACCTAGTGTTTCCATGGATTTCATGGACACCCTAGTGACCAGCAAGAATGGTAAGAGGCACATATTCGTCATCATTGACCGATTCACCAAGTACGCTAGAATAGTACCAATGCCAGAGACAGCCAGGGCTGAATACCTCATCAAGTTGTTCAAGGACAACTGGGTAAGGGACTTTGGTTTACCAAAGACCATCATTAGTGACCAAGACGTCCGATTCACAAGTGAGTTGTGGAAGAAGACTGCGGAACAGATGGGGAGCCAACTTCAGATGACTTCAGGGAATCATCCCGAAGCCAACGGACAGGCCGAACTACAACACTTGCTGAGGCATTACATCAAGCCCAGCCAGGATGACTGGGATGAGCAGTTACCTCTCATCGCCAGCCTGTACAACAATGCTATACATAGTAGTACCGGCGTTAGTCCTAACCAGCTGCACTTATGATGAAAGCCTAGATCAACATTAGACTTCCTCCTACCTGAAAACCGACCCGCTGCAACTCCAGACACACTTGAATACGGTGTGCAATATGAGAAGTTGCAGCAAGAGGTTGTTGAACATATGAAAAGGGCTCAGCAAGCCATGATTGCTTCTGAGAATCAACATCGCAGACAGTCCACATTTCAGGTAGGGGAACGTGTCCGGGTCAAGGCTAGTGAACCAGGACAGGAGTTCGGAATATCTCGCAAACTAATGTCTCAGTACTTTGGTCGCTGGGAAGTCTTGGATGTAGTGGGAGATGAGTTGGATGGTCCCACATATGTCATTCGTGTCCCTGGACACCTACGCACTCACCCAGTCTTTCATGCCTCAAAGCTTGCACCTTTCGCTGCGACAGATCAATTCCCTTCCAGGAGATCCATGCTGCCCCCAACCATGGATGGTCAAGTAGACATCGACGACATTGTGGATCACCGGGACATGCCTGTTCCAAAGTCGTTGGGCCGAGGAAGACCTCCCAAGCCCAAGAGAGAGTACCGCGTCAGATTCAGGCATCACACAGATCCAAAAGAAGATCGTTGGTTTACCAGGGAGGAACAGATTGATACAGCTCCTCAAGTGGTGGCAGACTACGAGAAGAAGCTAAAAGGGAAGGCACCTGCGAAGTAAGCATCTCCGCGGACTTTCGAAGCTAAGGGGGATGGAATGTGAGGATTGAGCCCTCAAGTAGGGGCCTTGCCATGATGTACATGTTCTAGGCTAAGGCCCGAGCAAGCCTAGTGCCCGCCCTAAGTGAAGGCGGGCCAGCAAATCAACAAGAGCCCTCTCGGCCAACATTTCACGAAGTGGGGTCTATACAGTTACAGCACGCCAGTTGGTTGGAGTGCACCGAGTCTTGGAATTCAGCAAATGCTGAAATGCCCAGGACCTCTGAGTTAGTTAGGCCCTGGGCACTCGAACGTGAGGCCGACAATGCATGCTGGGAAGAGAGGCCGAAAATGCCAAAGGGAAATCGGCCCACTATCTGAATCTGGCCGCAGGCCTTGATGAGAGAGGCGCAACTGYATTGCTCCGGGGCCCAACTGTATCGGKTAGGCTTCAGCCTCTGGGCCCCGGTCACAGGCTGAAGGGAGGCCGCCCACACGCTGCATTGGCATATAGGCAAGCAGGGCGAGGCAGCAGGCATCTTGGCCAATGCTGGCACTTGCGGGCACGCTGTGCGGATGCATGTGTGCTGCGTTGTGCAAAGCAGTACTGCGCTAAGAGCAAGCAGGCCAGCGCTAGGCGGTAGGGCGCTGCCTGCATGCAGGGCACTGGCGGCCATAGCCGGGCCGCATGAGGGTGCAGAGGAGGTGAGGGCGAAGGTAGTACTTCGGAGGTGAAGGGCGCTGTGTGGGTAACAAGGGAGAGTGTGGGGAAGAAGACACGTACGTGGGGGAGGTGGAGGTCGGCATTGGTGTTGACATCATCACTCGCTAGTAGTCAAGTTGTCTGGTTGCTTTTCATTGCTGTAGTTGTAGGATAGCTGTAGAGTAGATAGGGCGTCTGGCGCCATTCACAAGAGAGAGCTACATTTGGGTTATGCTGTTGGTGTTGCCCCGTTGGGCATGGACATTGACTCACGATTCTTTTGTATCATTCTCAATTGGATGGTTACTCGGTTCCATGTGCTATCTGCTTTGACTTTGACTACTTGGACTTCAGTGTGATTTTGCATTCTGGATTTCTGTGCTTCGTCCATACTCATGTTCCTTGTGAATGGGACTCTACTATTGATGAGTATGGAAAGCTGAAAAACAGCAATGATCAAACCAGACAGACCTGTCTTAGGCACCTGTGTACCAGTGGGACTCTACTATTGAGTTTGCAGGCGGTGGGAAGGCATCAGGGAAATCTGAGAGAGGCCGCAACGGGATGGAGGGGTCAATCCTGGTCCAATCATGAAAGTGGAGGTGGTAGTCTCTTTCTATCTTTTCCCTATCCCTTCTTTCGCCCCCCTCCCCTCCCTCTCCCCTTCTCCACTGAATTTCCGCTATCCAGCCCCCTTCTTCCCCTCCCAGCCAGTCTCTGCAGAAAGATTGTATTTGTATCTTCATTTCTGTTCTTGAGTGCATAAAGGTTATTTTTTTCTTTATTTTTTCCCATTGCACTGTGAGCTCTGCCGGGATCTGGTGCTTGATTGTCTCTATGACAGCCGGACCTTCGAGATGGACTTCTTCCATCTCCTTGGTGCACCTTTTCCACCAGATCACCCAGAGTACTGCTCTGCGACCCACTACAAACATATTTCCCTCGAAGGTGCTTGCTTGTTCCGACTGCCAAGCTTCACACAGGATTGATTGCCAGTTCCACGGCCATGGGGTTGTTATGCCTAACAGGCTCGACACTCGGTCCCACCATCTCCATAACCAGACTGATCCAGGGCACTGTAGAAAAATGTGCTCAATTGTTTTTGGTCTCCTCCTTGCTGGGTATGAGGCTACACATAATTTACAGTCCGATCTCAAAATCTCACCGCTGCACTGTTTGCCACGTTGAAAATCCTTCATCCGAACCTGGGCCTTGGTCGTCACCTGCGGAGTGTATGGGCCTCGCTGCACTGCTCTCCAAATGAACAAAATGAGACCAAATCCACGGCTAGACCATTGAAAGATACATTGCTGTTTTTTTGTCTTTTGTGCATGCGGAGAGCAGCGCTGCGAGACACTTTTTTTTCTTTTCTTTTTTTCTTGTTTTTTGTTTGTTTGTGTGTGTGTGTGTGTGTGTGTGTGTGTGTGTGTGTGTGTGTATGTGTGTGTGTGTGTGTGTGTGAATAAAAACAAACAAGCAATATGCAAGTTAGAACGACCCAGATAGCTGGGAACAACACTAGTACGTTTCACCAAACCAAGACAAAATCTGATATTCTTGACTATCAAATCTGTTGACAAAACCGAAAACACAGTAGCCTGAGGGCGAATAATCGTGAGACAATAAGGCATTGGACAACAAGCAGTTGCAAGCCACATAGGGTGGAGGAAATAGGGGAGGTGGGTGGGCAGACAAACAAAACAAAAAAGCACGGGAAAAGGCACATAGGGCCTCGTTAGACACTCCTTGTGGATCCGAAATCCATAAGGAAGTGCTCGTTTCATCTGTCCTTGGGGACGATTCGGGGAAAAAAAAGTGAAAACAGCACAAGGAAATTTCCTTGTGGCTACAGCCAATTTTTCCTAATCCCCAAGGGACCTCCCGAGGTCCCTCGGAGCACAAGGAAGCGCGAAATTCGGAGTGGCGAAGGCATGCGTCGACGCACAGTTTCAGTTTGAGGGTGGTCCAGACGTGGTCCACCGAACGGGAGCACGGACATGCCCTCCACCGTCTGGGTGGCACCCCAAAGGCTCCAAACGGTCACTCTCCGCGTGAGGCCTCCGTCCATCGAATCGGGCATTACCGGCCGGTGTCATGCGGTCTGCTGCGCTGGGCGATTGTCGACAATGGTTGGAAATTTGAATGCTTGAACGCGCCGGCGCTGCATTCGGCGACGACAGTTTTATTTGGGAAGATCATCGTTTTCGTCGTTTGTCCTCACGCCTTGTACGTCGGAGCACAAATCTTCCCTCGCTTTTTCTTCTGTCGACGGAGTTCTTCGCTGGACGATCGACCACTGACGTGGAGTTGCTGCCCTTTCTACGGCCCTTACATGGCCGACCTGCTGCACAGGCTGCCTCTGCTACTCCTCGTCGTCGTGCTGCTTCTCATCGTTGTCTTCTTCCACGTGTATTTCGTCGGCCTGCTCCCTGTCGCGGCTCGCAAAAGGAGATCTTCCAAGAACGCCGACAGGATGGATCGACGACTGACCAATGGCAGACCGGCAGCTCCCTGTCCTACTCCCTGTCCTGCGCTTCATCCACCACCTCGGCGTCGCTCGAGGAATCACTCCGCAACCCAACGCGTAGCACAGCTGAACAACAGCCTCCGAGGTCGCCACGTAGTCGGGGCCATCGTCTGGAGCTTGCATCAATGTCCTCCGTCTACGCGCGCGCAACTGCTCCTTCAGGCGTCCCGGCGCCCTCTCCTGTTGACATCGAAGAACAACGGTAGACACAGCCGCCCCCACAGCCTGCAGCTCAAGAGGTGTCAACACCGCATGTCCACCCTCTCCGCCGCCCTCCATAGCCGCGACCTAGACACAGACCCGTCCCTCCGCTGTCGTGTGTGTCGTCCTTCCACACCCAACGAAGAATCTGAAGACGTCCGTCGAAAGCTGGTCTTTTTTCTCTGGATGCTGCCCCGCAGACGAAAATGTGTTTCAAGGCGCAATCGACGTGTGTGAAGGTCGACGACGATGGACGCACCCGACGATGTCTGCGCACTTGCAACGGCCGGGGGACAGAAGTGACGCCGCCACTGAGCCCGTTTCAGCAGTACGCGGTCTTCACGTCGTCAGCCGCACATCGTCGTCGTCGTCGTCGTCGCAGCCGTCAAATTCGAATTTCAAACGTCGACACCCCCCGGGTTAAATTTCTTTTCCGTCGCCTGCCTCATGCTGTTTCCCGCCACACGTCGCTGGACCACGCCGCCTCCACACGGACAAAAGACGGTGGACCAAGGACCACCGACCCCGCGGCCACTAATTTCCGTATGAAAACGGCCGTGGGCATGCCACAAGGAAACATCCTCGGGGCAGGTCCCCAAGGATGAATGGAACGACGCCACAAATTTCCCTTAAGAGCCACAAGGAAATTTCCTTGTGGCTCAGGGAACTCGTAAGGAGTGTCTAACGAGGCCCATACTACAAGTACTATGGGGCTCGTTAGACACTCCTTGTGGACCCGAAATCCACAAGGATTGATCGTTCCACCTGTCCTTGGGGACGATTCTCGAAAAACAATGTGAAAACACCACAAGGAAATTTCCTTGTGGCGTCCTTGTGACCAGAGCCATTTTTTCCTAATCCCCAAGGGACCTCTTGAGGTCTCTCGGAGCACAAGGAAGCGTGAAATTCGGAGCGGCGAAGGTATGCGTCGACACACAATTTCGGTTCGAGGTTGGTCCAAACGTGGTCCAGCGAACGTGAGCACAGACATCCCTGCCTCCAAAATGTGCACGGCGCCCCAATGGCTCCAAACGGTCACCGTCCTCGTGAGGCCTCCATCCGTCTACGTGATTTGCCGGCTGGCGCCCTGCGGTCTGCTGCGGCGGGTGATCGTCGACAATGGTCCGAAATTCGGATGCTTCTCCCAGCCGCCGCTGCTTTCGACAACGACAGTTTGATTGCAGAAGTTCATCGTTTTCTTCGTTTGTCGTCACGCCTCTCACGTTGGTGCACGGATCTTCCACCGATCTTTCTTCTGTCGACGGGCTTGTTCGATGGATGGTCGACCACTGACGCCGGCTTGTTGCCCTTGCAACGGCCCTTACATGGCTGACCTGCTGCACAGGCTGCCTCTGCTGCTCCTAGTCGTCGTGCTGCTTCTCGTCGTTGTTTTCTTCCACGTGTGTTTCGTCGGCCTCGTCCCGGTCGCGGCTCGCAGAAGGAGATCTTCGAAGAAAGCCGACAGGAGGGATCGACGACTGGCCAACGGCAGACTGGCAGCCACAACCTCCGCAGCGAGCAATCGGCAACGCACTATAATGTCTGTGGCGAAGCAGCCGTACAACCCAAGGTTGTATGCTCACCTGCCTTCCCACGAGATTTCCCTGCCGCCGTCGGATGACGAGGGGGAAGACGTCAGGTCATCGACTTTGCCGTTGGGAAGTGGTTCCACGCAGGAATGGACGGCGACGCAGTCGTATGTTGGCAGGCGGGCGGAGACCCCGTGGTCTTAGACCTCACTGCTGAACGAGGGGTTGTGCGACGACGACGACAATGCAGCGGTTGATCTCAGCTTCCAGTTGCCCAGCAGCAGCGGAGCAGCGACAACGCACACTCGGATCATCAATCCCCACCTAGATGGGGATTCCGCGGACAACACGCACGTTGGACTGCGCGGGGCACGAGACGGCGGTGTACCTTAATCGCTTCGTGAAGATGGGGTGGGTCGAAATGTGTCGTCGATGAACGTCGGAGGAGGACACGGTGCGGATGAACGTCCGGAGTAGATGCACTTGTCACCTGCGTCACGACACGGATCCGGGACTCCTCGAGGACGGCAGCGACCGGAGGATTCGTGTGAGGGAGGTGCAGACGTGCAACGCAAGGACAGACAGTTATGGGCGGAGTGCAGGCAGTCCTTGAATCAAGGTGGAACGGAGACCATCACGAGAGGGGTGCAACGGCTCCACGTGGACGAAGGCGACGAAGCGGCTTTCGATGAGCCTCTGGGTTGTGACGACGTAGACGGCGACAACGATTGCAACTCCGACGATTTGCCAGAGATTAGCCCACTTGGGAGGAAGGTGACGAACGGCGGTGTGGGTGCGAAGAGGGGTCCCGCTCCGAAAAATCGACGAAATAAGAAAATGGATGATAACACCGGCTGGAGCGATGGCGAGGGCAGCCGAAACTTCTGGTCGGTGGGTGACACGATCGCACTCGTCAGGGCAAAAAGGGATCAAGATCTGTATATCGCCAGCATGGGCACCAGTTTCGCCTGCATGAAAACGAGGGAGTAGAAGTGGGAGGACGTGCGGGCGAGGTTGCAGACGATGGGCATCACGAGAAAGGGCGTCGACTGCGGGAAGAAATGGGACAACTTGATGCAGCAATTCAAGAAGGTCCACAAGTTTCAGAACCTCTCTGGCGGGAAGGACTACTTCAAGCTTGCTTCAAAGGGCAGGCGATCGGAGGGCTTCAACTTCCTCATGGACCAGAGCGTGTACGACGAGATGGAGGCCAGGACGAAGGGGGATCATACGATCCACCCGAAGAATTTGGCGGACACGGGGGCGGCCAGGGGGGTTCAGATGCCGACAGGCGCGGGGGTTGGAGGGGAGACCATGGCCAGTGAGGGTGGAGGGGAGGCAGCCGACGAGGAGCAGGGGTCGACGAAAGACTCCACATTCAGCGTAGGGAGCGGCGGCGGTTATGGGAAGAGGAAGAACATGCGGCAACAAACTTTTAAGGTCGTCGCCGACGTCATGGACAAGCATGGTGCGCTCATGGCGAGCACAATGGAGAGCGCGAGCAAGCGGGAATGCTCAATGATGTTACGTTAGTGCGAAATCCTAGAGAGCGAAGTGGAAGTACAAAAGAAACATTATGCTGCGGCGGATGAGGCGAACAGATTGATGTGCAACGCCCTTATGGAGATAGCGAAAGCTATCCGCGACAGATCATGACTGGTGCTGATTGTGACGTCCGCTGTTCCTTTGGTGGCATGTCTCTCCTTACAGATATGAGGCTTGTTGAGGCTATCATTCTCGTGGCTCAACCATCTGTGTAGTGCTGACTCACTTCTTGGAGGGAGATATCTATGATATCCGCCCATATGTCAAGGAAGGAGGCGGCAATGATGGTGAGAATTTTAATTGGTTATGGGAGATCGTGATCCAATTTATCCTTGACGAAAAGGCAAACTTGATCAAGCAAAAGAAGAAAGTGAAATGGGGTATAATGTCAGTAACATACAAGACTGTTCCAATCCCTCTTATACCTGACAGCTATTGTGATGGGACTAACTGGCTGCCGATAATCAACATGGTATTGACAAGAGAGAGAAGAAACGGTGGTCATGAGAGCTGAAGAGATCTCAGCCGAAATAATCAGACAAAGAAGGTCAAATTTTGGCAGAGGTTCGGGTCCAAGTCAAGAGAAGGTCGAATGTCTCCTAAGGTCGTTGAATACTCTAAGCTAGAGAGAGGCATTTCCATATGAAGTTGTTAGGTATGAGATGGTTGAGAGCGGATGGGAGCAGGAACCATTATATGTACTGCCATAATGATTCTGTTTCACAGGCCTGGATGTGTGACGTAAGAATTTATGTCCCAAAGGAAAGAAGAGCTGATGCAGTATATGAGAGATGTTGGGAATTTGTTGAAGAAGTCGTACTGAAAGAGAGAGAGAGGCTTGAGAGAGAGAACAAGTGTTTCACTGGATCTACTCGATTTACTGTCTTCGAAGGATTTTCAACTCCTCCCTTGCCCGATATAAATTTATCAAAAGATGATTGGTTTGCGGTGATTGAGTTTGCCCAGAAAGTGAAAAGAGGTCAAAGAGCCTGATGAGTCGACGCTATGTACCCTTGAGGGAGAAATCTTAGCTTAGACTGATAAGAGGTCATAAAGGACTGAGTAAGGCTGAATCGGACAAGCTGCTGAACTCCCTTAATTCTATAGCGAGTAGGGCTGTAATTCCTTGAATATGATATTGGGATCTATGTGCCGAAGCAAAGATTTGACGAAAGCCGAAAAGGTGCGTGTTGGCAACGAGCGTCGAATCTTGTGCATGATGAGAAGAGAAGATTAGAGCGAGAGGGAAGAAATTTCTCCTTTAGCACCTATGTCAGACCTTTTGTTGGAATACCGTCTCCACCTGTTGAGGGACTCACATTCCTAAGGTACAATTGGTATGTCATGATAAAGTTTGCATGAAAAATGAAGAGAGTTCAAGGAGAATACTCTAAGTAGCCAGGATAACTACTGTGAGGGGTAAACTCTATGAGGTGATAGAGTGTGATAATCCTTTTGTGATCCTGAGATATGAGATTTGTGAGAGAGGGTCCATAGTATTTTACATCTCAGTGGTCAAATTCCCGAGTACTGGCAGCCTGGACGTACGGATTTATATACCAGCAGGACTAGAAAAGGAAGATGACTACTTAAAGTGTCAAACATGTGTTTATATTAGTCTTATAAGAACCAAAGAGTGACTTGAAAAGTTAAAAAGAAAAGTAACATGGGGGAAAGAAGTAAGACAATTCGAGAGGCTCCCTGAGTTCTTGATTGCTAAGGGATTTGAAGGCAGCAGAGATTGGATGCCTCTGTTGGAAGCTATTGCTGAGATTGGTCGAGCAAGAGAAAAAAACTCCACTGTGATGATAAAATCCCTACTTTTTAGTACCTTCGTACACAAATTCGAGATCCCTGATTATGTCCAACCTGAGATCTACCTTTCAGATGTTGCTTATGATGATTAGCAATGCCCAGTTTGATTGAACAGTTGACACTGGGAGTTGTGTTGGAAAGTAGAGTAGTCAAGGTAGAGGGGACTCTTCGGATCTCTAACATAAATTTTTCTACATTGGATGAACTTGAGTTTTTCCAGCCTTTCTTAGATCGAATGAGAGATTCTGCTTTGAGAATTATCACTGACCAGACTGAGATAAACTATCTGTTAAAGGTGGTGAAAGTGGGAACTACTGAGAGAGTATCATATCACACTTTTCAGGAACGGGTCTCTTTTGCAAGAAGGATCAACAGTGGGTTGTAAACGATGCAATTTCATTATGAGATTATAGACCTGACTCGATATTTTATGATTCGGGGTACTATAAAGGGATATGACAGAAGACCGCGTAGGGATGATGAGAGAAAGTTGATTGAAGATTGCATCGGAAGGCTGAGAAGGATTGCACTGCCCTTGATTACTACCCAATCAATTATTGCTTATACCCTATATGTACAGAACTCTCAGAGGGTAGAGCAGACAAGAGAAGAGAGGAACGAGTCTGCATCTCTTGCGAGAAGAGTGAGAGATTGAAGAGCAGAAAAAAAAAAAAGAAGGATAAGTGCACAGAAAAGAGAAGAGAATATCTGGAAAAAATCTATGGTCAAAATAGCAAGACGGAGGCCGAGTACATCAGCAGGGACCAATGAAGAGGCTTTGGTTGGGGTTATACGGGAACTGGTAGAGAGAGTAGATACTATAAAAGGAGGATCAGACATTGCAAGAGCAAAGAGGCCAGATGAGAGAATTCCCTGCTTAAGAGGACCCCAGGTTAATGACTTCTTGGACGAGTATGAATTATTTTGACTTAGTTATGGCTGGACAGATAAGCAACGGCTAAAGCACCTTCTATCTTATTTTGATACTGACTCAAGGATGACCGTTCAGGAGCTAATGGAAGGTGTCACTACATGGGAAGAGGTCTAGGAGAGACTGAAAAAGGAATTTGAGAAAGATTCGGTTTCAACCACAACTAAGGATTTACTCAACATTAGAAGAGCTAAATACGACACTTTCAATGTTTTTCTTCAAACCTTCATCCGAACAGCAAGAAGAATTCCGTATTTGGATGAAGCTCAGAGATGCCATATATTTTTGACAAATTTTATTGACACTGAAAGGCAAACAGTCTTTAATCAAGTTCAACACTATCCTCTCTTATGGGATGAAAAAGTTGCAATCATAAGAACTCTACCTACTGTCTCCCGCAAGAAATGGTCACTACATCGGATCAGTACTTTGGCCAAGGACTGGGAGAATGAAAATGGAATGAATAGAGGAAGCAATCTGACTGTTGAGAATATTCTTCAAAAAGTGATGGTCAACTTTATGCCTGCAAGGGCTGCAACGCATGTTGTGGATGACAGGGGAAAGAAAAAGGTTGAAAGTGAGGAAGATGACGACGATGATGATGACAACGAAAATTATGGTAAGAAGGGGGATTCGTCCCGAGCCAAAAGGAATGGGAAAAATGGTGATGGAGGAAACAGGGAGAGAAGAAAATATGATGAGCGTCTTAAGAGAAGTTTTACCTGCTACTACTGTGGTGAAGGGGGTCATACTACCACTTATTGCAAGCCTCTTGAGGAGGACGTAAGGAATGGGGTGACAAAGAAAAATGCAATGGGCCATGTCTGTGATAGTTGATGGAATAAGTTGGATCCCAGACATCCGGGAGGTATGAGACTTCTTGTTCTTAAACATGATGAAAAGTTGAAGATTAAGAAGAAGAGAAAGACCAACGTGAATGTTTATTTCCTCATTGGAAACTTGCCTAATAAGATAGTACAGAGGGCAAGTGACCCTTATACCACGATTGAGTTGCCTCTGCAGTCCTTAACACTGACAGAGTGTGGGTCTGGCGAGGCATCAACAAGTGAGTCTCCATTGGGAGGGAACCCTACTTTTCAGAATCTTTCTGGATTGGTGGAGTCCACTTCCAATGACATGGCTCATCTCCTGGCTAACATGATGTCATTCCATGGTCGTCTACCCCCATAACTTATCATGGAACCCAGTGTCAGGGTTGGTGAAGTGAGGAACCATCAAACCCGTATGACACCTCAAATGATAGAAGAAAAGAAAAGAAAGAAGGCCGAGGAGTCACTTATTAACATCCTTGATGACCCTGAACCGGAACGTTCACAGGAAAAGAATGAACAGGGGAGAAGAGAAAATTTATTCTCAAAAGTGACTTGGATGATGGGACGGTGATTTCTGATGTAATTGCTAAGATGTTGGAAGAAACGGAAGTGACACTGTCTTTCAAAGAAGCAATGACACTAGCACCCAAACTGAGAGAAGAGTTGAAGAGGTTAATTGAGAAGAAGAAATTGGAAATTAATTATTTGGGGTCAGTCTTTCCCAACCAAGTGAATAGATCACTACCAGGTTGCAAGATGAGATTTGCAACCATGAGTTGTGGGCATCTTACAATTCGCATTAATCAAGTGAAGATCCTAGCCCTAGTAGATTCTGGGGCAGAGATGATACTTCTTTAACGAAGAACGATGGAAGCCTGTAATTTATCTATTGACAGACTTGTGCAAAATGTACTGAGTAATATTGCAGGAGAGCTGTTCGTGGCAGAATTTATTGATAATCTGCCTATCAGGGTTGGGACAATGATTGTGGAGTTACTGGGTTTTGTAGTGCCGGACTTGGATCATGACTGTATTTTGGGAACTTCATTCTTGCATAGGATGGAGGCAGTCCAATTTTTCAGTCATGAGGGGTCATCTTGGATCAGTCTACAGGATCCAGAGACTGCTCAAGAGCAAACCTTAATGGTCGGTACGAAAAATGACTTCAAGCATCAACTATCTGCTAATTCGATCAAGAGGGAGGAATCTGCAGAGAGGGTTAGGAGACTAAAGGAGGAAGGAAAATGAGAAGCAAAAGAAGAGATTTCAGTGGGAATCAATCAAGTTTCGAAAATGATAAAAGCACTTGGTAAACTCGAGAATGAGGACGGACAAATTGAAGCCTTCAAGAAAGTTGTAGAGACTGCTAAGGGAGGAAAAATGGAATTGAGATTTGCATCGACTCACC